CAGACTGCATTTGTCTTTTGCCGAAGCTCAGACTCTGGCACAGGATCGGGAACGTTGGAAGCAGTGTGTGACGAGTCTGCCTCCGCGACCCGAAAGGAGAATCGGCGATGGAAGATGAAGATTAAGTCTTCTGATGTTTAAACAAAGCAGGGGAGGAGGCTCAGATATTGAAACATCTAATTGTCAGAGTCGTAGAATGACAACTGTAAAAGTTTAAACACGTGCTGAGGATGCCGCCAGAAATACTGTTACTTCAATGTTCGAAAATTAAGTTAAGGAACAGTTACTAACTAACAAAACAGTAGTCGAATTCTTGGGTAAAACCACAGGGATGACAGGCTGGGCAAACCGTAATAGATGGTCCAATTCTGAAGAAGACCTGTCATCGTCGTACCTGGAATCTCCATAACGGAGCATGTCAGTTGGTTAGTGAGATTTCTGCTTAAGAGATGAGCTCTTCCACTGTCTAAAACGAATAACTAGCTTTGAAAATAAACGAATGAATGATTTCTGCAATATACAGATGATATTGCACATTTCGAACTTCATGGTTGCAGATCATGATGGCATATTACAGGTTTCGAATCAGACGGCTGAAACGAGCAGTTTGAAGAATGCTATATGAAAAACTTCGAATAAACTCCATAGGTATGAACTAACGACATATGTAATTCAGTCATGATCCTAATATTTGCCCTGAACTTTCAGACTGGAAGTTTTATGTTGTCTTGAAGATTAAAGCACAGAACAGCGTTGGTTATTCGTGCATTTTTCTGCGAAATAGCCTGTGTTCCTCACACTTATGCAATATCTTATGATTTTGCGTGAAACGAACATGTCATTGTCGACGATTATAAAAGACCGAATACTATTGAGTGACGGCAATACAAGCGTGATTCTGTTCGACAGCTCTCGATGATCAGTCAATGGAGATGAAAATTTTGCTGGTGTGCACTTGCGCCGTGACTCTGATAAACTCGCTTATGGCTCAAGCAAGTAGGTCTGCTTCAAGATAGCTGCTTTTCTTTGAAACCTAAATAGGTCTGCGAATGTAGGAATAAGTGAAATTGAGTAACAGGGGATTGTGCAAAGAAAGCACGAGATAGTGAAGCAAGAACTTGAACAGCTGGCAGCATAGATCATCCGCTAATTCAACGCATATTGCTTGATAGAACGAAAAGGCTGCTGTTTGACTGCCTTGAAGCAAGTCACATTTATAAGTGCTCTGTGCATCCCTTAGGCTACCGTCGCGGTTAACAGATTGGTTGGTCATGCCGTCGGACTGATTCCACTGAGAGTGGGGACAAAATTTATTGCTCTCGTGAGAATGAGTAGAGCAGCCAGTAGTTCCTACTCGCAGCTTACATACCACTTAAACCAAAAAGTTCGCCGTGCGGCGATCACAGCGCTACAAATTATAAGTTTCGTGTTGCATGTTGTAATGTTTGTTCTTCGTCTGTAGCAGATCAGTTGGATGATGCCTGTCGTACGGCGCGCCGGTAAAATTTCGACGTACTGGTGGACACTGAAGATCTTAACCAGTTGGAGCGGACGTTTGACCTGTAGGATAGATGATCATTTTGATCATTAGCTCACTGGACATGCACCGTGCGAGAGCGGATATCCAACCATCCCAGAGGGCAGAGGATGTAGTCTCTTTTGTGCGACAAGTGTCTGAGAGAATTCTGGTCTGTCGTCTAAATATCAAACAGTGACGATGAGTGTCATAATCACATATGCCCCGAGATATGTCGAGAGGCGATTTCTATAACAGTTCGTTGTCGTTGTCACAACTGCTACCGGTGGTCTTAAAATGAAGGTTTATGCCGAGCACACCGCATGGTCACACGTATGACAACAGTGGGCGCCTATTAAGTCCTGGTGCGACAAACTGCTTAATCGCTGACAGGATTCTATTCCCTCATAAGAGAATTTATCAGGTCGTCTGGAGGTTACTCACGGAAAATGTAAACATCGAATTGGACCGTGTCCTCATCAGCCGTCAACGACATAGCTGCCTAATTGAGACTCAGGTTCGGTTAGGTGCCTGCATTGAGACGATCATCGTATCATTGTAGCGGAATTTCGTCGATAATTAGCTGCATGATCGACCCCGTCTGGTTGAAACACACCTTTCTCTTGATATCGACGAGCTAAAATATGAGAAAGCCGTAAGATAGGCCAATTAATAAAAGACCGAGAGTTATTTTAATCCACCCTTTTAGCATCCAGTCAGGAGGTGACATCGTCGATAAAACAGATATTTCAAAGAAGGTGTCATTTTTCTGGCGAAAAACGAAATTGGGTCACAAGGACCTCAATCAAACTGATACGGATTACCAGAACGTCCAAGCCTTTGCAGTACAAAAGAACCTGATGAGAAAAGCCGGTTGCAACACTATACTGCACGTTCAATTGCAGCTCACCACCGTTTTATTCGTGCCGCTCACCAGAGCTGCAGACGAGGCAAGGAACTTCAGCTGGAGGAGGAAATCAGGAAAATGATCAGGCATCTAGACAAGGCGAGTAATGAAAAGTATTTAAAGGGATTTGACAGTTGTCTGGTATGCAGAAGACGCGGTCTGTTCATATTCATGACGCTGAAGGTGTTTCATTGACAGGCCAGAACGAACATATCAAAAAATGGGTGAGCATTTCCAGCATTGCTCAATGGCGG